GGTTTAAGAGTTTTAAGAGTTTAAGAGTTTTTAAGAGTTTTAGCCAAATGCATTATAATATAGTATGGATTTATATGTGTCATTATCTCTTCTTTTTTAAAAGAGAAAAAGGTCTTAAGAAGTATGTTTTGTTCTTGGGTTCCAATATACTGATTTTTATCTGATAATTTATTGTTGTTGAAAATCTTCGATCTCTTTGTATTACAAGGTGAGTTTTTACTTTAAAGCATCATTTGATTGCTTTTGATAAGGAACTGTATGATTTTGTATTTGGGTGGTTTCAAAATTGTTATGTTCTATATATTAACATAAATTTGGGTTTTGTTATATTGTTATCAATTGATTAAAATAAGAGTGGCATATTTAGTAGAGGTGTATATTGGAATAAGAGTAGCATAATCAGGAGAGGTGTATATTTTGAACTAAGGGTGGCATAATCATGAGAGACATATACTGGACAAGAGTGGCATACACAATAGTTTATATATGAGATTTTCGATCATATGTGTTAATGTTATCGCATCACTGTACTGAGATGAGATTATGTTGTCGCATCAATATGATGCGAGGAAATTAGGCTATTGCATCAGCTTGATGCGAGGAGTTATGTTATTGCATCAGTGTGGTGCGACGACAATGTTTATTGCATCCTTAAGGTGCAACAGGTTGGGGTTATCGCATGTGTATGAAGCGAGGAAGTGGGTTAAGATTAGAAACTCCACTTTTGTTGTTAAGATTTCGGGATTTGAAGAGGTTAAAAGGATGTATAAAGACGACAACTTCTTTTGTTGTGTAACCGATGAATGTACAGATGGAGCATACAAAGAAATTCGTTTTTCATGACGGATTTGTCTTCAACAACAAGCGTTTATGCATTCCTAATAGTTTCTTAAAATGGGAAATTATTAAGGAGGTTCATGATGGAGGATTAAGCAGACATTTTGGGCGTGATAAGATTGTTGCTTAACTAAATAAGTGCTTCTTTTAGCCCAAAATAGAAAGGAACATAAACCATTACAGCTTGAGCTGTCGGACTTGTCCTATATATAGCAAAATTGACGTCCCAACGTACTGGTCTCTACACCCCTCTTCCCGTTCCTATGGTGCCGTGGGAGGATGTGAGTATGGATTTTGTCATGGGGCTGAAATTATTGAAGACTAACAGATCGAAGAAGCCATCGATGATGATCGCGATCAAACTCAAACCCTAGCACCAAGAATCAACCCAGAATCCTTCAACTTCTCATCAGTAATTCCATCAATACGTTGTCTCATCTCCTCACTCAAATGGTTTTTCCAATCTYCAACCTCTCCTTTCCTGAAAAAATCCGCCTTCTCCACCACCGCTAGCTTACCAAGCTTTTCAACACCATTTTTGTTCACCTCCAAAGTACTTAACTTCTCAAAGCTACACAGCTCCACAATCTTCTCTACTTCCCCGTTCTCTTCTTCATCCACCGTGAACGGTTTCCCCATGAACRCCGCCAACTTTCTCAGCTCCACCGCGGGCTGCCTCTTCATTTCCTCATACTTCAAGAACAGAATCGTATCCGGAGATTCCAAACTTGCTTTCCAGTATGATAAAACATGGTCCCAGTACGGCCCGCATTCCGACACTCCTTCACTGAAAAGCTCAAATGCTTCATCAAACGTTAGAGGCATCAGATCTTTCGATCTGATTTTGCAGGCGAAAGGCCATTTCGAAATCAACACATCTTTTGGGTCCCTACACACGTATACAAACTTACAGGAAGTCATGGACGAAGGTAAGAGGAGGCGAGGGTAGTGGGTGGCAAAGAGTCGAGGTGAAGGGATGTGGGTGAAATCAGCAATGGGATGGCATTCGCTGTCGAGATAAGGGAAAGTGCTTTGTGGGTGGTGGCGGAGCAAATGGTGGTCGGAGAAGGTGTAGCGGTGGCGGTTAAGGGTGGAGAACATGAGTGCTTTGAGCCAGGTGGTGCCAGACTTCATGAACGAGGCCAAGAAGATGTCTGAAGATCGAGGTTTAAAGAAGGCATTGAGAAGTAAGATGTTTTTGATGATATAGGTGTTCAACCAGAAGCCATTGTAGTTACAGAGGTGTTGCACCATCCATCCATTGCCTTTGGGAAGTGTAATTTGTATCAAGTGTTGATGTTCCTCGCAGATCTTGTTGTATTCCGCATCTTCTTTCGATTGTGGTGGTGTTGGTGGAGTTGACATGATGAGGAAAGTAAGAACAACTGGAGTTGATGTTGTTGTATGTCAACCGGATATTTATAATCAAATCAAGAGTGAATTACAGATTCGGTCAGGTATGTCAAAAATTATGATTACAATCCTCATATTCCGTTAATTACAAGCTTTTGTCATGGGCTGAATTTTAAGAAATCTTTATACTACAAGAAAATTAGGTTTTTAGGAGGTCATCAATTTCTAAGTATTTTAATAGACCTTTTTATATGACTAAACTTTTAGGATCAACAGATAAAGCGTCCTATCTAAAGACGTTTTTATAAGTTCATAGGACGTTTTTATAAGTTCATAGGACGTTTTTGGACGTCTTAAAAAGTGTTTTAGAACTCTTTTAATATAAAGCGTCACATTAGTAATTTTATGTTCATCTTTTTATAAAACATTTTTCAAATAGTCTCCTATAAAGTTGTCAATTGGACGCTATTTATTAAAAATGTCTTAAAGAACTTACTAAGACACTCAAAAACGTCATATAAACTTATTACAACGATTTTAGATAAGGCACTTTATTTTTTGGTTCTATAAATTTAATCATATAAAGCGGTACGTGATACTCAATATAAATAATATGTTTTTTTATTTACATAATAATAAATTGATTATAATGAATATAAATAAATAAAATGACGATAATGATTAAACAAATCAATATAATATATTTTAGTTTGCATGTAAAAAACCCTTATTGCAGTCAATATACAATAAATGAAATATTAATGATAATTAAATACAGTATATGTAAATAACCTGATTAACTATTTATAAGTAAATAATCATTGTCATTAATTATTATTTACATAAGATTCATAATATATATATATATATTTAATATTATTAGATGATTATTATCGGTTATTATTATTCACTCAATGCTCCCTTTATAATATTTAAAAAACAATATATGTACTAAGTGATTAGTCACATGAGTTTTAATCATTTTCTTTAGCATGACATATATGTTGATTTTACATAAAACGATTAAAACATTTTTTCTTGTAACAAGAAACCAAACAATGAAAAAAATAATCTTGTGCGGATCAAAAAAACTCGAATAAGTCAAATGAGAATTTAAACAATCCAATCGGATTCGCCTATAATGGAAGTGTCACAATACTAGCGACCACTGTTACTCTTTGTGCAATGTAGGTTGGGAGAAAAAGGGGGTTTTGAGGAGGGTTTTTGGACAAAGTTGCAAACGAGTACATTACAAAAAATGTAAGCAAATTGTAAAAATATCCGCAATACTATATACAAAACTGGGTAATAATACCACATGTGTGGTGCATGTAAATATTTTATGTAAATATGTGTAGGGTATAAATTGATATATTTATGACAGAACAATCTCCATTATAATCAATAGTCTCACATATTTCTATTTTTATTTTGAGTTAATTACAAAGTTTGATATAAGAAAAGATTGATATATAAAATTTATTATTTAAGTATACATAACTTATCTTATAAATCTAATATATAATATGTGATTATCGATCCATTTAACTTTAATCTATACTATCTTATAAAGCATTTGGCTAAAACTCTTAAAAACTCTTAAACCCGTTCATCCCTAAACGATTTCATCTCTATCCGATTTTTATCTCATATCTGAATTCGTGTAACTAATTGTAGATAAACACAATCAAATACAAGATAAGCATCTCATTTTAAATATAAAAAA